GAGAGAGAGAGAGAGAGAGAGTCTTCTATGCTTATATGACGTATTTCTGTGCTGCAAATGCTGTAAAAATCTTACTAAAAAGTACTAGGAGTCTTTACAAAGGACCCTTTAATTACTTTAAAAGGGCAAAAAACGTGGTCATCTTTACAACAATTTCAACAAAATCTCGAAAAAAAATATGACTTAACCTAAGGGGCATTGTTTTTAGTCACTATACACATACGTGTACATTTCCCGATCATCATGATTAAATAATATCAAGATATAAAATTCAAATGCAGCAATGAAAATTCAAATTCCAAAATTGTCAAATTAATTGAACATAGAGAGTTCAAATTTAACACAACGGACAGCGTAAGCAAATGCCAGCTCAAATGTAATCACAGGAGAGGTCAAATGTAAACACTCGGGAAATTAAAATATTCGTCATTATCAGGTCAAATGTAGCATAAGAAAGTTCTTCTTCATTGTCAGTTCAAATGTAGCATAAGAAAGTTCTTCGTCATTGTCAGTTCAAAAGTAAAGTAGCATTAGAAAGCTCAAATTGAACAACTACGAAAACTACGAAGCTGTGACGTAAGCACAATCAGAGACACTAAAATATAATTAAATACTCTCTGGCACAATTTCCGAGTCAGGGGAAGCTACTCTGTCACTTAGCAACGTTCGTTGTTTACTGCTCACATCTCTCGCCTTTCTTCATTACTCGACGTCTACTGTGTAGATCTACACCCATTCCAGACCAATTAGACCAAATTAATATCAGATGAAGACAAAAGAGGCTGGGCAATCTGCTTAGAGAACCTAAACAGACGGGTAACAGGGAAGGATCAGAGAAACGTCGTAGCTTTTTACAGAGCATCCGAGCAAAGGAATGAACGGAGAACCATGATCGCCGATGTCTGCGGTAGATCTGGCACATGCTGCTGCTGCTGCTGCTGCTGCTGCTGCTGCTGATGATGATGATGATGATGATGATGATGATGATGATGATGATGATGGTGGTGATGATGAGATGGAGGAGGAGGAGGGATACAGTGTAAAGCGCGTAGAGCTTGCCGTTGAGCGGTAACATGCACGTGCAATACAAATGCTAATCTATTTATTATTATTACACGAGCCCATTGTGAAAGAGGAGCTTGAAGGAAATATGTGGAGCGGGAGAACCAGATTAAGGCAAAGAATATAACAAATAGACAGGATAAGGCAGAATGTGCAGCGCCAGCTCGCGACCGTGAAGGATGGAGGGTCATTACAAGTCAACCTCTGAGTCAGAGATGACACCCACAGGTAGGTATCCAGGTACCCATACTCACCGGAACTGTCAGCTTGTCCGTGACCTCTTTGGGCACCTCCGGGAAAGGTATGTCCTCCACGGCGTGGTAGTCTGTAGAGTTTGTCGATGCCATCACCAGGCGATAGTCGTTATGTTGGGTGCTGAAAGACACACCGTTCATCACGGCTACAAGCTCGCCTTGACCTGGAGAGTGACGTAACATCAGGTAAATACTTTCATTGACTTAAACATTGTAGATGTATATCAAATTATATCAAAAGGCATTCGTTCTCAATCTCTTTCGCACTTTCATCCCGGAAAATTTGCGCTTGGAAAGTTCTTGTAACTACAGTGTAGGTCTAGATATATCTAGGCCTATACCGGCGGTACCAACGATATGCTACCAGTGCCAAATCTAGACATTAAGTTTTAAAAAAAAAAAACAGCAATGGAAGCAAAATCACTGCATATAAGACGAAATGTCTCCGCAAAACCTTTGATATCACCACCACCAGAAACAACAACAACAACAACAACAACAACAACAACAACAACAACAACAACAACAA